AGTTATCGTTATCATTGACCGTTTTCATACTTTCGGGACCAGTTATTAGTACCTTATGAGCTGAAATTATGGAAAACTCTTATCAAAACTTTCGCTAGCCTAATTATGAGCTTTTCGGCGCCGTATGGTTGTTCGGTCACTCAACTTCTTTGAAACCTTTTTCCATCACTGCTTGTGAAATCTAGTAACTCTACTTCCTCGAGCAGTCGTCATCCTCTTTTTTTTATCTCATGCTTTCTCATGCTTGGGGTTGTTTTAGTTCTATCGTGGAGCGATTGTCGCTGAAGGGCTCAGTCTTCTATTCACTGAATGATGACGTTTCAGAGCGGAAGGGTGCGATTGCGACAGCACTAGATTATTATTAGTTTCGTGGAATCCTCTCCTAATCTCCAGAATGTCTCTTGAGCTCTTCGAAGGCGCGGCCGGCCGCTATTGTTCACCCTAAGAGAGCCTCTGCCCGAAATCGACTCTGCGAACTTCCCCGAAATTCGTCATTGTTCTTCGAAGGTAGGACTTTCTTCCGGATGTAATTTGATGCGTTAGCCACTAAGCTGCCGATTTTACCTGCTCTCGACTCCGAACTCGCGCAGTTTGCTATTGTCGATTTTGTTTCCTAATACTGGGTCGCATTGGGATTTATAGCAATTGAAAGTTAAGTATCTTTTTATTACCATATCGGTAGATTATTGCAAATGTGAGCGTTTTATCGACATTTTGCATGGGCAGAGTTAGGGAAGAAACCCAAAAGAAAGAAGACGTTCGCGTTCGTAAATTTACAACTCAAACCCTTCAACACAGTTCGAGGGAAGCTTCTGTTCACGTGAGCGCTGGAAGTCTTGAAGACGCACAGAATAAGCCCTCTTTCACCTTCTGAAGCATTGCGACTTTCGGTCATGCTTTCCACTCGGCTAAACAAAAACATTGTAAAACTGGCGTGGGACGCATTGTTGCCAAATTATATTACTTGTTAATCGATTCAGTTATTTAGACAGCGTTTGCAAAACCGTTGCGGTTCATCAAAGCAAAGTGTTCAAGCAAAGTGCTAGGTGAACCTCTGAGTACTGTGGCTCTTATGCATAGTGTGAAGATATTGCGATTATTTGCAGACTTTCTGCCTTAACTCTAACTCTCTCGTTTTTCTGGCAGCTTTTGCTCGTTTCTTTTTCTCTGCAACTTTCCGAAGCAATATCTCATAGAATAAAGTCAATAGTAAGGTTTTCCGTGTAAGTCGTTGTCACGTTTCTGGCAAAAGCCTTAGATACCTTCATACAACATTGTACCTTTCCTGTTTTACTGCTTTACGCAATCCCATACATCTTGAAAATCGCTTGCACAAGTACGATCCGACACCCCAACAGTACAGCGAAGAAAGTATTGAACAGATGTTTTACGTAAAAGAGGGTAATGCCCAATCACTATTACAAGGCCAGTTGGATCTGTACTGCAGACCGACTAGAAATTTAATTTTGTAGCCTGCTATTCTCTACCTACTACTGTACTTCATGAGATGCGGCCTTGAACGCAATCTGAACAGTGTTGTCAACACGTGGCCAGCGCCTCTCGTCGGTCGGTCGTTGATGTCTGGAAGCAGCCACTGGGCATATTCGACGCTGACAGGCACTATGCTCATGTGAGATCCACCCAAATGATTACAGACGGCGACACGTTTATACAGACCTCGCAATCATACATGCATACTACCGAATATACACATCATACGTCCTACTTACACCTAAATCTAACCTTTGTTTTCCTTTCTCTATGAACCTGCACACTGCATCATGAGTCATTGACTTGCAAGGTATCGGCTGACTATCAGGGGCCGAGTCAGCTCCGAAAGGAAAAAGATGTAACAGTATGCTCACGTGAGAGACCCCAGGTTCGACTACCAAAGTATCGATCGACATCCGGCAACGTCGACGGGGAAACGCCTATGCTTGAGTAGTATGTTTCGTAGTACAGCGTCGAGCGTCGACGCTTCAGCTAATAACGTTTGGCGCCCATTGGCCGCTTACGTGGTGCGTGGCTGACGGCCTTGCGCGTTGGGGCATGTTGTTTTCCCATATGAACTATGTAGAGCTACTCCGAAATTATGTAAACAAGGGAAAAACAAGAAACTGCAGTGGAATAAAGTAGAGGAGTAAGAAACGCACTCCCCCCCCTCTAGACAAGTTTGCGGAAGCAAGGGAAGTAGAAAAAGAAAAAGAAAAGTGAGAAATGTAATTGTATGGGAAATGTATGTGTATGTGGAAATCTGGGTATTGCCAGAAAGGAGCAATCAAAGACTACTTCGATCAAGACCATAATAGAAACCTTTAAGCAGTCAACGAGAAAAAGCTTTTTTTCAAGAGTGGGGTAAACCATATCCATCAGACCCTTGAAAAAATCATTCAAAACTTCATTCATTGCCGAATTGTGATATATCGAAAGTTGACCGGAGTGGTCACAGAGCATTGAACGCCGCAGGTTAACGCACAGGCGTCATGGCAGTGACGCTTGACATTGTACTATGAAAACGCTCTCGTTGCCTCCAAGCTGATCAAGAGGGTGTCAAAATTGGCCCTACGGATACGATCCACGCGTCACGGTCCATAGCTCATCACTTCCTGCTAATTTTTAAGGCCTTTATGACTCTCTGATGTGCCTGTTCTGTTTCTCTCACTTCCAGTGTTCTCCAAAGATTATCTTTTTTGACTAGTCATACTCTGTTTCCATCACATCGCATCTTCCACTAATAAACTACCTTTTTCACTTTTCAAGCAAGATTCTTTCAATTCGCAATATTGATCTAAAAATAGAGTGGCATTTGCGTTTGTCCGACAATTAAAAGTATTATATCGGGATGTAACGAGCGAAGCCGTTTTTTCTCTACGTTGCGCTCCATTCGTGTATCTTCTACTTTCAGGCGCTTCACACATGGTCCTAGTACCAGGTGATCCACAGCCTTCATCAAGCTCTAGTTGTGATATAGGTTCGTTTAGCTGTTTAGCAAATATGGGGTAGGCTACTTACTGGAAGCAGTTCTAGCCTATCCTATCACAAGTGAAGTGCTCTTTCGTGACTAGCTAAGCCACCTCTGCATCTGCTCAGAAAGTTCTCCATCGTCTCCTGGTGTCCAGTTTAATTCATCGAGTTGTGGTCTTCCTGGGGGTGACATGCATCATGGTCGTGCCACCAATACCCTCGACAAGGATCGAGTACAGGAGGATGCAGACACCTTGACAAGTGAAGGTAACTCACAGTGTGCTTCTGATTTTGAATCCGTTGCAATTATTGTCCCTTTTGAACAAAAGTTTTTCTTCCATTTTCACTTCTCATTCTTCAAAAGGGTTACGATGAATGGTACGTGCGAATATGATTCTAACAAACGCATATCAATGGGGGGTTTTTAGTCTCTCAGTAGCATAGACATTAACAAGAAACTGTTGCAAGCTTCACACCCAGACGGTTTTTCTTCCATGAGGGCAAGGTTGGTGCTTCTATTTGTGGTCTTTGATTCCTTCCGCCTACGGCACGCTATCGTAGCAAATCCTGTCTAAACCCGGAGTGTCTTTTATTGTTGTGCTTTTGAAAAAGAAAATGTGTTTTTTGGATGAAACCTTTTTCTTGTTTTTCTCTCAAAATAAGGTTCATCTCTAATTCGAAAAGGACATTTTTACCTATCACCCCATCTTGAAGACCGCAGGATTTTTTGAATGACTTCGTTTTTCGCAGCGCTGTCTCCTATAAGTTATACTGTAAAATGGAAATGATTTACATGCAAAGGTTAGCTCGATGGATAGGATTATTGAGAGACCACGAAAGAGGAACTAGTACCAAGGAAGTCGAGTCGAGGAAGAGTCAGAGCAGGATGTATTTTCTATAAATGTGAAATTTTCCCGTTTATTCACAGGGATCTGTATACACGGCTTGTAGCTGCCTACAACCATTTTTGTTTTCTTCCATTTCATTGCGTAGATTTTGTCGTCAGTTTCGTATGTGTGGACGCTGTTTCGTTGAACTTGCGACAAATTTCCTTATGTGCGATGTGGTATAAAATTAGTGGTTCAAGCCCGTCTGTCCGAGCGAAGCAGAGGAAGAAGTTCCTCGTCTGGAGCACTGACGTTCTTTGTACGGCTAGCATTCTTAGTGAAGTTCGGCCTCGACTCGCGCACGACTCGTTCAAGGGTATCTGAAATTGCAAATTACCGCGGATGGGGTTGTCGACAGGATGATACAATCTTTCACAATGCTGACTTGATTCCGTCCTTTCAGTCCCATATGAGACTCTTCACCCCTTTTTCAGGAGCTAACCTTGGCGTTTGAAGAGCTATTCTTGCTCTAGCTCCTCTTCTCCGTAGCCTGTTGTTGGTGCGTAAGAACGAAGATTGTTAAAGACGGGGTTGAGCCGCATCTTTTCCAGTGACAAACGTACGATTCGGGCTCACAGGGGTAGGTTGCCAAACGTAGACATGTGGTCCAGGTTCATTCCGGATAGATAGCCGGATTGTTCCAGAGTGGACATGGGTAATTCCTGTTGGAGGCGGCCTCGAATCTCTTCTCGAATTAGGTCACTTTTGGTCCGTGATTTACTTCCCTATCCGACACATGGTTTTGGCCATGTAGCCTTGTCACCGTGCTGCTGGAAATCCTTCAGTGAGGGAAACCGCAGTGAATGAGATCACATTGTTAGTGAATAGCAGACCAAATTGAAAAGAGTGTTATTGAAAATTTTTCATGTACCTTTCTCATTTTTAGAGCAGTCACATGCTCCGATTTCGAAACCTGCGGCGATAATGTACGGCGATGTACCTCGTCAGGTACCGTTAGACGAAAATGGTCATAAATATGTTGGACTTATCAATCAGGTTGGTTTCTTGTCTACGGTCTTTTTCACTTCGTATGTGCTACTCGAAGGGAATATGAAGGAAAGCCGAAAACTTCCATGCGCGAAGAATTGAAGTAACTCATTCTTGTTCATTATCAGCAGCCTCCTAGATGTACTGGTTTTTATTTTTATATTGGTGGTTTAGGCTATGACTTGTTATCTCAACAGCCTGGTCCAATCTCTTTATATGACTCCAGAGTTTAGAAACGCCATTTACAAGTGAGTGTTGCGGTATTGTAATAAAACTTTCGTCACACAATGTGAAATCGCATTGCAGGTGGGAGTATCGTAGCAGTGGAAAATCGGGAAATATTGGTGAAAGAGAAGCGAGAAGTATCCCGTATCAGATTCAGAAGTTATTTTTGCTGCTGCAGACGAGTGACCTAGGTTCTTTGGAAACGAAGGATTTGACAGCAAGTTTCGGATGGTCTAGCAATGAGGGTATGACTTTGATCGACCTTTTCTCCCTACTGTGTGATATTTGTCTCCTGACTCTTATCTCACTGACGTGAGTTCAAAGAGATTGTCTTAGCTTACGATCAACACGATGTCCAAGAGCTGTGTCGGCTTATGTTCGACGCCCTAGAGCTCAAATGGAAAGGCACGCAAAATGAAAAATTAATTCAGAATTTGTACAGGTATAATGCTCATGCTTGTGCTTCTTATCGGTTGAAAAACCATTGGTTAATTCAGAGGAAAATTGCAAGATTTCGTGAAGTGTTTGAAATGTGGGAAGGAAAGCCTGCGGTCAGATGTTTTCCTTGACCTGCCGCTTGCTGTGAAGCCTTTTGGTGCCGTTGAAGCCTTTCGTAGTGTTGTGAGTTGTAATGTGAAGTGTTCTTTTTGCTCAAATCATTCCAATATCATGCAGTTCAAGGTATAGTCATACTGCAGTTAAACAACATTTATTTTAATATGTTCCTTCTGAGAATTTGAAGTGGTCCCTTAGCGTGGCGTTGCTGAAGTACCTTGGAAGATATTACAATCATGAATGCCCAAGCCCAATAGAGTTTGAGTACATTTATTTCGGGCTTTTAAAGCAAATTTCTCTCAATCTGCTCTTTACTCGCGATTTTGTTTGCTACATCGCTTCCCAAATCATCCTCCAGAAATAAGCTTTCGGGTTATTTTCTTTATTAACAACCTTCCAATTCTTTCCACTCACAAAAAAAAAGGCTACGGGGTCGCAACTGTTCAAGGTTAGATGTAACCTCCGTAAGGTTTTCAAACGCTGGTCTTAAATCTGCGACCTAAAATATGTGAGAGGATTCTGGGGTTGAAGTTGAGGAAACGTTTTCCTACTCAGTTATACCACTGTGTCGAAAGGTAAGGCGGTAAACCATGGGCATGACATGAAAAACGAGTCTTGGTAGTCCACAAAATGATTCTTATACGGTTTTGGAATGCTAGGGTTGATTTGAGAAAGAGGCCAAGAAAATAGGAGAATCGCCTGAAATCCAAACAGTAGGGATCACCTAGAACAAGTCTGTCTTCAGTGTTGCGGAAAAGTCCACCGGTTTGGGAAGTCAATTAATCAGCATCACCACAAACCTCAAGGAAGTCAGCTGAGCTCAATCGCGCACCTTGAGAAGAAGGAAGTCCTTTGATTCTTTTTGTCACGTCTTACTTCGAACCTTTAGTTCAGCCTTTGAGACCGTTTCTTGCAAAATAATTGCCGAGTTCTGATTTTTTAACAACAAAAGTTTATTCCAAACTTAAGAACCAATCCCTTCGTGACCGTGTCTTCAATGTATGTTGTGAATTCTGTGACAAATGTCTACAAAACTTCAGTAATTATTATTGGTTGCCAAAATATTTTTTGAAAACCACATTAAGACATAGAGTAGTGATTTTTCAAAGTTAATTCTCCAGGAAGAGGCCCTCCGAGCGTTCGTGACTCCTGAACTTCTTGATGGAAGTAATCAGTACTTTTGTGAACGGTGTAATTCAAAACAGGATGCTCACAAGGTAGATCTTTACTGTTGTGCTACAATGACTTGATTCTTTAGAAATACTTTTACAGGGTTTGCGTGTGACAGAATTTCCGTATCTGCTGACCATCCAGCTCAAACGATTTGATTTTGATTATAATACAATGCATAGGATAAAACTAAATGATAGGCAAGTTGGCCATCGCCCATATCCTTGGGAAGTGTTAGTTTTTTTTTTTTTAAATTTAGAATGACGTTTCCCGATGTGTTGGACTTAAATCCTTTTGTTTATTCTCCAAATGCCGCCAAACTATCTGATGAGGAATTACTGCCTGCCTCAACAGGTACTGGCTCAGGTGAGATGCTTTCCTGAAAGTTTGGAGCATCAAAAGTGAGTGTGTTGATTGCGCTTCAAACTATCATGCCACAGCTAAGCGTCTAATGGTTTGGTGAACTTAGAAAATCGTCGTTGCTATTCTGCATCTTTTTTTATAGCCAGAGCATGTACCCAACATACGCTCCTGAAGGATATGAATAAGGTATACGTTAAGTTAAGAGATCGGTAGCTCTGAATTGCAAATAATAACGTCCAAAGTTGGGGAAGAGGTTCAGTCTAGAGCGTTTGTTACCACACGGGGTTCTGTTTCCACAATTTTCACGCAGCGCTTCTATTTAGGAGCTGTAGGATCTATTAAGTTAGTTTTCTCAGTCATCACTGTTGAAGTTACACTTTTATTACCAATCGGGTATTGATCGAAATCATTTGTGTTCTAAGATAATTGGACAAACCATTAAGAGACGGTGATCGCTGGCCAACCGTTAGATCGCTCATATGTGAACAAACTACTCAAACGAGGAGAGTACGTCTATGAATTGTTTTCCGTCATGGTCCATCAAGGAAGTGCTGCAGGAGGACATTATTTTGCATATATCAAGTACGGTACTTTTCCTAAGACATTACTGAGAACGCACTGCGTTCACTGACTCACTTGATGAGGCAATTGGTGCTTGGTTGTGAGAAATGCTGCATCTAGAAACATGGACCAAGATCGATGGTACTGCTTCAATGACACCCGGGTTGAACCAGTAGGTTTTGAAGAAATAGCAAAAAGTTTTGGCGGTACCTACGGCGGATGGTCTACCAGCAACACGAATGCCTATATGCTAATGTATCGAAAGGTTGTGTCTTCTTGCATATTTTTTTTCTCGAAATCCATCTGCTCTATGGAAGGTTCAGATAAGTAAGGTCAACTCCTCGTTTATCCGTACTGCGGATCTACCCCAACATATTACTCAACTCAAAAGTCAGTGGAAAGAACAAGAGGCTGAGCGAGAAAGACAACGAATATACCAGCTTAATCTAGTCAATGTTAGTAGTTTTTGACCATGCTTTCTGGACCGAGCAGCAACCTCACCGGTCATTTATAGATCAAAGTTCATTTAAATATGGTGAGCGACAACGAGAGTTTATTGAGAGAACCGTATACTGTGGATATGCCGCGTACGCAAGTGTTATGCGATGTATATAATCAGGTGAGTATTTGAATTCTGAATCACAGGGTCAAAATGATATCAAATAGGCCCTTTTTAGGCACTCAAGTTTTTTGAAGAAAAGTCTCGTTCTTCTAACCATTCCAATAATCCTGTCATATTTCGCCACCATAGCCGTCTAATACGTGCGACAAGTGAACGCGGCCTCACCATTTACGAAGCGTATGTGTCAAGGGCGGATCTAGCTAAGGTTCATCAGAGTGGCCTTGCTTATTCTTATAGCATCGTCTGACAACAGACATTGTTATCTTCAGAAAATTGAGACCTGTTTGATACCAGGACGTCCCAACAATCTTATGTTTTTGTTCGATGTTTGGAGACCCAGAGGTTCGTTCCGTTCATCCTTCCTTTTAAGGCACAGCTAGTGATAATAGATTCTTGAACTATAAAGGGATGAAGCCGCTGCCGTGAGTTATAGTCATATGGCTAAGAAATTTCAATAGAAAAAAATGTGAAAACTTATCCCGGCACTATTGCACTATTACACCCCCAGTGGGGGGTGATATGGGTCAAAAATTTTTTCGCTGAAAACTTGCACCAGGGGGGTTATCGAGGTCGCTGATCACGAATATGGTATCCATTTCTGGTGAAAATTGGCGCCAGTTGGCGTCAAGGGTGTTTTCACCAAATTCGCTGTAAACTTGTACATATATAGGGGTTGTTCGAGGTCCTGATCATATCTATAACAAACACTATCCCTTTTCACGAACTCCTGCGTGTAGTCTTCATGTCGAGCGTTGTTAATGCCGTAGCGTCGCTTTCCCACTTCCTTGTATTTTTGCCAGAGTGACTCAACGTGCTGAGTATGTGCTCCAGTTCTGGAATCGACGAAGTTCAACTGATGGTTGACCTGGAGGTGTCTGTATCTGAGGGACAGGGTGGAAACTTGAGAGCAAGCTCTCCAGCTGTCGCTGAATATGGTGGTTCCAAGTTTTATGTACTTCGTGATGAGGCGCAGGAGAGTGGGGCTTCCCTTCTCCGAGCAAGGGTAAGGAAAGCTCGACCGCTTCCTCTCTCGATGCCTCCGAAAAGCCATTGGTGTCTGCGTACCC